CCCTAAATGTCAGTTGACAATTTGTTTACATTCCATAATTGGCCTAAACGTACCCTACAATAAACTGCTGATGGGTTCACCAATACGCTCACATTTGATAAGTCAGTACTGTTAATTTACATTTGAATTTTTTTGAGAACTATCCACTGATTGGAGAAAGACGTACGCAGAGCTATTGAGAGGAGGAGATGGCATCAAGTGAAAATTTATTTTTATATTTTCATATATTATTATATTTTTTGTTGCATTCCTTTTTATATATAAGTATATTATTATAACTAATTTTGAGTAAAAGTTTGAAATTTATTAAAAAAATAAAAATTATATTATCTACTGCGCAAAAGTATTTTTCACTTCTGATAGCGTTTCAGTCATAACTGACAATTTTTAGCTATGACGGATTTATAGTCAGCAATGACTCAGAAAAAACAAAACAAACAAACAAAAAGAAAACAAGGCTCTTAAGAAAATGATAGAAACTTTGTTCTGCGCGCTGACAAAATTTTTTCAGCTATGACTGTCATATTACCCATCAGTTGACCGGCACTGTTCTTGTAGGGTGCATAACAAATGTAAACAAATAGATGTGTGAACTGTCAATGAAAACTCATCGAAAACACACAATGTCGGTCAGAACGACTTTTGTTCCACAATCCACAAATTGTGTTTTCAAGAGGATTTCAATTCGGTGCGAACATAGTATAAGTGCAGGGGATACAAACCTCTGCACCTTGCCACCACCACCCTCTGGTGGAAAGGCACCCGATGGCTAACAGAATCACCCGATGTTTGACCACAATCGCCCATGCGTAACATAATTGCCTCAGAAAGTCGAAAAGTCGACTATTTTCACACAACATTGGATGATACTGACATCCTTGAGCAATTTTCATTGTTCCGCCGAGCCCTCAGGGTAATCTTTAACATGATCAAGTACAGATCGACTCAAAATTAAACTTAAAGGTGTACCCTCAGAATACTCCCAGTTTGATACAGTGACGCACATAGACTTACAAAAAGCAAAGGTCACTCTTATCGCATCTGGTCAAGCTCGCTACTTCAGCCGAGAGATAAAATTATCAAGAGATTCGAAGCCGAATTGTATTACGAACGTCATATATACCAGAGAAATCGCAACTTGCTACCTTATATCTTACCTATGTCCATGTACTATTGTTACATGTCGAACAACGCATGTAGTCATGCAAGAAGTAGTCCATCAAGAGTCTTATATCCCAAAACTCAAGTCGCAAATATAAAAAATTAATTTTCATCCAAGATCTGCACTATGCATAAGCAGAAAATGCGAACGTAGATTATAGCTGCACTCTTGAAAGGCTACATGGTTGTCTTTATCTGTTCGACAATGACAAAACATTTATCGAAGCTCAAAGAGAAACAGAAAAACAATCTGTGGGCTTTATCAACCAAGTTTCACCTGCGATTGTACAAGACATGCAGTATATCTTGCAGTATATCCCTCCAAGCTCATAAAAAGCATCAAATTCCATAAAAAGAGTAGCTGGAAACCACATATTTTATTATGAAGAATTAATAACAATATTAATTCGATATAAAGCCGTTCATAATTCACGGCTACTAATGACACTCTTGCAAGATCTCTCCGGTCTCACAGCCCTAACTTGAGGGCACTTTCCCAAAGGAGTGTCCATTATGGTTATAGCTGAGCCAGGCGTGGATCCGCTGTTCTTACTAAATAGATGGGAAAGAATTAGAATTCTTCATTAAGATTTTAGCCGCTGATGGAAGGAAGAGTATATAAAGGACCTTCGAAAAGGCGCTAAAACTTGGAGTTTGTGTTCTTATTCATGATGGCTGTCTTCTTCCCACCCAATGGCGGCTGGGCCACATAAAGAAGCTACATCTTCCGACGATCATATCTGAATTGATCTCCTACGTAAAACGGAACGCTCACTCAACCACTCGCCAACCTATGCTAACGCACAAATCGAATCAATTCAATTCAAACTAAATTGATAACAAGTATCATGAATAAAGAATGTAGGCCTGTGGAATACAATAGACTTACTACTAAAATCACCTTTCTCACACACAGGTAAATATAGAAGTGGAAATGAGTTCGCCTCCCGTGTAACCGTCCATTCCGCTATCAGTGTGCCGTGCCTTGGGGCGCCATCAGCCGCACCTCGTACAACCGCTGCAAAGACTGCGTCAATTGTCGTTCGAAGTGCCCCCGACCACAATCAAAGTCGTAACTGAGATTTTCCCAGCCGCCCCGTATCCGATGCCGGCCGTGCCGCCGTCTACACATCTTTGCACCATATTTAGGGGCATACAGCCGATTCAACGCCAGCGGATTGCTCAGCCACATGGGTATTGCCTGAATTGCTTGGCGCTGACCCTTGCCTCGTAGGAGTGCACATCCGACACTCTATGCCAGGTACGTGACAGGCCTCATCATACACTGCTCTACGCATCCGCAATGTAGGCAGACAACAGCAAGCGCGACAGTTTCAACGACAACCTACAGCCAACTGCGCTCTCGGTTCGAGGACTACTCAGAACGCAGAACCGATTCTGCGTCATCAAAAAATTAAAATCCAAAAAAAAAAAACAATCGTGTAAAATTTTTTTTTTCATATAAGGTTGGACAGAATTATACTCGAAGATTTAAAACTCTAATCTGGTACAGAGGACTGTAATAGCAAGGCGCTATTGTGTACTCAAAGTTTTGAATAAATGGGCAATGAGGCCTCTGCCTCTAAGAGATTTAATGTACATACATATCTCCTAAACCACTTAAGTTGCAAGAACAAAATTCGATAACGGTAAGTTCTTAAAAGCCCATACCGACAATGTGAAAATGGATGAAATCGGATGATACCCTGCCCTCTCCAAATGTAACGGTTTTGTTAAAAACTACTAGAAGCGCGATACTTCAATACTTGTAATTAAATGCGTCAGCGACATTAAATTTTACAGCCAAGATACAAGAAGACTTTATAGGATCCGAACTAGTTTGAACTAAATATAGTACATAATATTATCGTAATGATTCTATGTAACATTGTTAAAATGGGCACAAGCGGTCTACAACCACGCCTACTTCTCGTATAACACATTTTGAATTCAATATGTGCACAAATCGTAAACCTATAAAAATATTCAGATACAACTTTGCACAAATAGTGAAAAAATCGGTTTATCTGTGAGATATATAATTGAAATTCGGAGACAGTGTTTCTTTGATAATAAAATACCTTTGTGTCAAAAATGGATTTCATCAAGTCAATATTTCCCTTAGCCCCCATATACCTAATATAAAGATATTCGAACTTAAAGTTAACTTCATACCACATACAGATCTATGTATATCGGCCAATGTGGGAGTTATTTAAATGAAATTGAATGAGGGTTTTTTTTCTGATAGCAGTGTATCTTTTTGATTAAAAAAGATAAAATCGGGTAAAAACTTGCCTAAGCTCCCGTATAACTGATATTCAGCATTTTAAAACATCCGGCTGACTTCTCTCCATACATACAAGTATATTATATGTTGATATTTATATACAATACTTATAACATTGCTTGAAAAGTAGTTCTCAAGTATACCGGAGCAATGTTAAAAATTCACTGAAATTAAATATTAATAATAATAAATAAAAAATATAACCTATATAATGATTTCCGACTTTCCACCTGACTTTAAACCCTTTAGGTTTATCATAATAACCTAATAAAACTTGATATACGTGTTCCTTGACAAAAAAGTGACGACGAGTTCGTACATGGGCGTAAGCTTCCAACTGCCACGTCCTCAAACCGTAATTAAACGAAAATCTATAAAGTGCCATAACTAAGCACTAAATTAAGATATAAAACTGTAATTTGGCACAGCGGATCACAGTGGCAAGGAGCAGCTGTGGGCTCAAAATGAGGTTGTCCAATCCTCTAAGAGGTTTAATGTACATATCTCCTCAACCACTTAAAATACAACAACAAAATTAGCTCAAGACAAATCCCTTAAGCACCTCTACCGACACTAACACTTGCTGAAATGTATAGGAGCCGGTATCCAAATAGGTCGATTGGCTTGGCACCGCCCACATTTCGGTGAAAACCCATATCTCAGAACCTACTGAACCGATATCGACCAAATTGGGTATGTAATATTATCTTGACGTTCCTATGTTTCTGTACGAAGATATGCGAAATCGGAACAACGCCTGATTCTGATTCTTTCAAGTATGCAAACTTTTGGTTCTTGATTATATATATTTTGTGACCAGAAAGTTTACGGAAATTGTAATTTCAACTGCCCACGCTGAATTTTTTTTGTGTTATTAAGTTGGTAGCATTGTCCTTAATTACTATGCCAAAAACGAGCGCGATCTGTCAACCAGTTTGTTCACAACAGCTGTTGAAATCAGTCGACCTCAGTAGTGTAGTAGAATACTGTGAAGTGGGTGGTGGCGTGTATATTATCAGATTTTAACGCTGTATATAGAGATTTTGTATATGGAGATGCCAGAAGAACTTGTCCTGTGCGAATTGCATTGATATGGCTTTAGTGGTTTGTGAGATCTACATTAAATCTATTGAATAGCAGGACCACGTTAAACAACAGTAGTTCTTCTTTTTATATCTTAATTTGGGTCTTAGTTAATTCAATTTAATTTTTTTTTATCTCGATTAACGGCAGTTTGTGTGTGTAAAGAAGCACGTGCACCAAGTTTAAGATTTTTACTCAAGTTATGGCTTGCTCGAAATTGGTACCTATTTGACGGTTGAAAATTGTGACTGAATTACAAAAATATTTTGCATATTATTGTATTACTTATATTAAAGCAGAGAACATACAACAACATACGACGACTAAGAGTTAGCAAACAGGACTTCATTGTCATGGCAATAAAGTTGGTCTTGCACATTGTTAGAGTACTTATCAATATTTTAATTGTCTGTATATTACTTGTTTTGTGCTTGTTTAAGTTAAAAAAATATAGTTTAATACTCACTTGCAGAAGGTGCCTTGAAACGTGTAGATGCTGGTTGGCTACTTTTACTCACTTCTTTTATATTCACAGTGATTTCGACAAAGTAGTCAAAATCAGGTTTTAAATTAACTTCCTTGTAAGTAACGCAGCCGTTACTATCATAGACTGGTAATATTGTTCGATTGTATGAATGATTGGGTTGCCCTTCATGTTCGCCGAAAATATTGAGGTGAAATGTTTCTAATTCTCCATTTACAAAACATGGAATCGTCCATGTGATGATAACGTGCGCTTGATATCGATTTTCCATCGGATATGGACCAAATGTTGCTGCTTTAAGATCTTCAAGGGGTTCTGAAACTAAAAATAGTATAAATATTTATTCGATTTTTGTTTTTAATCAAAAACATACTCCATGGGGCAGTTTCCACTACAAGTGGTCTGCTATAATGTCCCACGCCATATTCATTTTGTGCTGCTATTTGAAGGCTATATGAAGTATATGCAAGTAAGTTTTGAAAATTCTGCTGCAAGCTAGCTGTTTCTCGCAGTATGGCTTCCACTGGTACGTTAAAACATTTCGAAGAAACAAAATATTTTGGCCCTATGTATTGAAAATATGAGATGTACAACTTAATATTTCCGTTAGAATACATTGGCAAATTCCACTCAAACTGTAATGATGTATTTGTTGATGACTTCAGTGTTATATGCTCTGGCTGATTTGGATCTAAAATGATGTAAAAATGTTAAAATGCATGTATATTTATGTTATGTGTAGTTTTGTGCAATTGTACATATATATATACGCGATCTCCAGATAACTAAAACCATCCATTGGAAAAATAAAGGGTTTAATTTCACTAGACCTTATACTCTCGCAATTTGTAAGGATCAAAGATGGGGAGATATCGGGTAGTACTTAACTCACTAACCTTTTCTTGACAGATTTCGGGTACGTCGTGTCAAGCTGTTATGTTATTTTTGTTCAGTATTGTTGGCATTTCATCATGGAGAGACTTACGCCATCAACGTTTACAAATCGTTCAACTTTATTACGAAAATTCACGTTCTGTAAAGAATGTGATTCGCGCGCTACTCATGGTCAACATAATCGGCTTACTGAGCGTACTATTCGCAACACCAACACCCATTTTGAGACCCAGCATTCATTGTGGGATAATATTCGACCAAATAGACTACGTTCAATACTCAGTGAAGAATTATATAGCGGATGTAGCTGAGAGTGTACATGAAGACCATGGGCATGAAACATATGGGCTCTTGAAAAGCTCCAAGAAGATCCGACGTTTGCGAGCTAAATTTTGTTTAGCGAAGAGACCCAATTTAGGCTCAATGGGTATGTACACAAGCCAAATTCCCGCATTTGGGACGAAGAGCAACCTGAAGAGATTCAAGAGCTGTCATTTAAACAAGAAAAAACAACGGTTTGATGTGATTTGTGGGCCGGTGGAATCATCGGTGCTGACAAGCTATTATATTAAATAAATTTACTGCAGATATTGAGCACATGTCTACTTAATTTCACTAAGATATCATCAAAATTCAACTGAAAAGTAGAAAATAAATAATGAAAAACGTCAGAATCGTTAAATTTTACGTCGAGCCAGAACAAGCACCACCCTACAACTAGATCCGGGTAAGGAGGACATAAATATGCCTCTGGCTACTTGTAGATACTTAATCGACAAATATGTCATTAATATAGCCGAGTGTCAAAGGAATCAGTCCCTGACCTGCTCAACTAGCAGGCAAACGTGGCAAGAATGGAATATGAGCCGCACATGCCGACTGTTAAAATTCAAGAGGAATGATATAAGAACTCTAGAAGGAGTACTAACAGGCCACTGTCTAATAGGCAGACATGCAAGTATACTTGGCACGCCATATAACGACTATTGTAGAAGCTGTCAGGAAGTAGAAGAGGAGGAGACCATTAAACATCTTCTATGCGATTGCGCAGCACTGTATAGGAAAAGAATCGCAACCATCGGTCGTGGGTTTCTTGACGACGTCTTTGAGGTTGCACAGATAAAATTTGTCTCGCTGATGAAGTTCATCAGAAGTACGGGGTGGTTCAGAGAGGAGCCAATAGAGTGAAGGGATCACAGTCCCAGTGGTATCACAATGGGCCTCCTAAAGGCCTAAGTGTGTCGAATGATGATAATACGGCAAAATTTTATTTAAAACTCCATAACTCGGTAACTGCCTCGGTAACAATGCAATATTTTTTTTATATTAAAAAAATGTTGCGAAAAAATTCAACATAATTAACTCAAATTAAATATAAGTATGTGATATTAACAATTGACCGATATATACGGCATAAATCTCACATGAAGGAATGGGCGTGGTTATTATCAGATTTACCCATTTCACAGTGTATGAAGATGTGCTAAAGAGACTTCTTCTCAGGAAGTTCGGTGTAGTTAGCTTCAGCAGTTTGAAGGATATGAATATTAAACTATTTAAGGGGCAAAGCTACGCCCAATTTAAACACTTTTTTAGCCCAATGGTGGCCATTGCTAATGGAATTCTCTGTACCAAATTAAAGTTTTGTATCTTAATTTAGTGCTTGGTTATGGTACTGTAAAGGTTTTTGCTTAATGGCGTCTTGTAGTTCGATTACGCCCATCTGCAATACCGACCTCCCTTGAATGTCAAGGAACATACAACAGTAGCAATTTCATCAAGATATTTTAGATTTCACTCTAGTTATCGCTTGCAGGGACAGACAGTCACCCGTAATTCAACTAATCTCTTCATTTGTATATGGGTCATTCCATCCAAAACTTACATTCAAAAAGTAAGGAAGAGTTAAATTCGGGTGTAACCGACCATTTTATACTCTCACAAAGTAAAGGGGTATATAATATTTCCGGATATACTTAGTTTTGTTGTATATATTTATTATTTCTTTTATCGTATAATAATGTGTAACTTAAAATTAGTAAATATTATCAACTTTAAAAAGTATATCTTATATATAATTTACATGTGATCTTTACAATTTTATACAGATGTTTTTATAGAAATTCTTATACTTAGATATATATAAAATTACATTTCATTTGTTCTTTTATACAATTTATTACAATTTATATATACTTAGATATATATAAAATTACATTTCATTTGTTCTTTTATACAATTTATTACAATTTATATTTTAATTTATAACATTTTTCTGCTGTCAAAAATGCTATGCCATTTTAATACCATTATTTTTTGTACAACCTTTAATTCTATAGAACTATCAATACTATGCTTTGCATATATTATTATGCCCTTTTATTGCATTTGCTTGTCTCCGTGCTATCAATCCTCAGCTCGTTTATTAAGAGTAAATCCTGGTACAATTAAAATCATTAAAATGAGCGTGGAGACTCTGAACATCATGGAACAAAATTTGATGTCCTGAAGGAAATCATAAATTTGAAACTTGATGTCAGAACTTTAGTTGAGTTCAATTAAATCAGTTCCCTAAATACTGGATCCGATTCAGAAAATTTGTTAAGAGAAATAAAATGAATAAAAGACCTTTTGCAGTAGTAGCTCGACCGAAAGGGACATACATACAAGTATATCGAAGCGTTAGACAATTTCTCGTCGAGTATGAACTACAACTTTATTATATTTGGCACCATGACTTTTATGAATAGTTATTCCCTCGGCCGGAACAAGTTAAAATAGATTTTTTTTTCTATAGAATGAGGCTTCTTCCATACTGCTATGAAACCAACAAACAGTTTCAAGAATTTCTTCCACAGAGTTGTTGGAAAAGTACAATGGGAATCAATTTGCATAAGTTGTCCCTTTGACCCATTAGAAAATACATCACACGTGTTTATATTCACTGTAATCATATATTTGGCGGATGTTTTTAGTGTGAATTCATAGGACAGTCCCTGCGTTTAAGAAGTTTTGAAAAGTTTAACTCTTCCCAAAATATTCTCATTTTCACTTATACCAATTCCTTTAACTCCGTCCTTAGCAGTTGAAAGAATAGCTTCAGTTGGGATCCGACTGAGCTTAAGGGCATTGAAATTATTTGCCTCTTCATTGAATCAAAATAAATGTATGGCATCATCTGAAACTTTCTCAGAATTAACTACTCGAGTTTCAATTAGTGATATGTCCTCATTTGTCATAGTACCATATGGTTTTATGCAATTGCAAAGGCCTGATCCTCCTGTTGTCTCATTATTTCAAACTGTGCTGTATGCATCATTGGGATTAGGAGAGAATACCTACCTATCTCCAACAGGTTAGGGTTGCTTCGAATTACCAAACACTATAATCGGTATACCACCAAAGCGGCTGTCTGTTTTGAAAATCTATCAACAGAGCTAAACATATGAGCACCTACCATCGATATTTCATCAATTATGATTCATTTTAAATCGTTAAGTCTGGAATATAATGAATTAACTGTGTCATTGCTAAGTGGCCTCAACTCTCTATTCAACTGATTAACAGGTAAAGAGAATATTGAATGAAGGGTCATTCCACCTATTCCGAATGCTGCTTTACCCGTAGGTGCGCAAAAAAGAACTTTTAAGACACTCGGATTGGATCCAGGTGTAGAATTGTAACGGACTTGATATATTGCAGATATCAAACGACTTTTTAAAACACCTACAATGAACTCATAAAATGGGCTATTTGTGTTTAGCTTTTGCTTAGCTTAGTATTTAGACTTTGAACTAAAGAAAATTGTTCCTCAACTTGAATTAGTGGAGGAAATTTCATAAGTCTAATATTTCAATCAGATTCAGTGCGATTATCTGTTACCGAGAAAATTTATATTTGGGTTTATTTCTGGAGTCCTAACACTCTGAACTCATTTGGCACGATAGGTAGTTCATTTTTTGCACTTTCCTCTTAGTCTATTTCATTGTAAAGACTTTCTAGAACATTTTCAAGTTCTCTTTGCTCAAAAACATGATGTTTTATTTGACTTTCCTCAGTTAGAATACGATGTGTTATCCAAGTCTGCTCACTATCGTTTTCAATGAGATCTTGCTTTTCATTTTGCCATGGAAAGTAAAGCATTACCGTTTCGCGGAAATATTTAACTCTGGCCAAATCTGGGATAAACCTTCTTTACCGAATTATACAAGGTTTGGTAGGTTTTTTAACAAAACCGCTACCGTCTTTAAAAGGCATGACAATCCCGCTTTCTGGTAAATTATGGTTTTCCCCTTCTTCTTCATGGTCACTGTCTTGTGCTCTTCTACTATAATTAAAATATTTATACTTAGATGCAAAATCAACTAAACGAAGAGTTTCTAACTGATCGGATCTTTGAACATAACGGTCTAAAATACCGGTTACGAGTATTTCAGTCGAACCTGAAGGAAGGTTTTGAAGTTCCGCTTACCATAGTTTTTACCATTCAAACACCTTCCTCAAGTCGATAGATATTTATAAATATTTCTTCATTACTTGCTTCCGAAAGATGGAGCCCAATGAAGCAATAAACTGGGCATATATTTCTGTGCCTGATATAAATTTGTGACCTATATGTTTAAGTTTTTGCTTAATAGTATAATTTCCAGCATTTACCTCTGATATAGCTGCATTTAAGAGCCTAGAAATTCCCCTCTTAAACTTGTTAATATAATTAATTATATATGAACAGCAAGCATATGCATATATTGAATATCCATATTTGCTCTATGGAGTTCCAAAATCAGAGGATTATAA